CTAATAAATGTGGCGTTCTGCCTTATTCCCCCTGAAAAGATCCTGTGCAGTACTTTAAGTACAACAGTAACCATCTCTGGAAGAAGGACATTGCAGAGCTGTGCAGAGAGACGGCTGCGCGTTGGAAAGCTCACCACGGCACAGCTGATTGCTGAGTTGGAAGAGGACGATCGCTCTAAGGAGCCGGTTGCTGACACAGCTGGGGGCTGCGAGAGAGGCTGGGACCAGCCAGGCAGCCCCAGGGCCCGCACCCGTTCCTGGCCCAGCTGAGGCCGTGATAGAGGCTGGGACCAGCCGGGCGTCCCCTAGACCCATGTCCCTGACCAGGACAGGGTTTCCACCTGGCTCCCTGTGGGGGGATCTGAGACGTATGGAATTGGAGTGGAGATTGAAGGAGGCAGGGGACCAGGACAGACAGGGAAGGCAGGAAGCAGAACAGCAGGAGATGAGCTGGCGATGGCGGAGCTGAGAGGCAGAGGGACCCGTCCAGGGGTGAGCGGGGATGGACCCTGGGGTGCCAATTCCACAGGGAACCTCAACACTAAATTGCTGCCCCAGGTTAAGGAGGGGGGAGATAGAGGTGCCTGTCTTGCGGCCTTTGGGAAGGCTGGCAATTGGAGCCCAGCTGACCCTGCAGAACGTCTCCAGCGTCTAGCCCCCTTGCTGGGTCCCAAGGCCATACAGCTGTTTAGCCAGATGGGTGGGGTGGCAGACTGGCTCCCACTCCCGGCCCCAGCATATATGTCTGCGTGTACTATCCTGGGCTCAGGCCTGTCAAATCTCCAGTGAGAGCGGAAGATGGTGGTCAATGGGGAGAAATTCCTGGCTTGGCGAGATCTTGGGATAGAGAGACCTCTTGTCAGGCCCCATGTGGTGTAGCAATGGCCATCATTAATATTCAGAGTTAACTGTGTCACATGGAATTGGTAGGTTACAGAGTTAACACGGTGTCTATCTTGGTTGGTAGGTTCCAGAGTTGACACCCCTCTGGGCAGCACCCCTGCTTCTGAGCCGTTCCCCCGGGCTGTCTGCGGACTCAGGCAGACAGACGGGATACATGGGATCATTATCCCCGGCTCTCCGTCCCGGCCCTGTTCTCCCAGGGGGATATGCACCGAGCTGTGCCCCACACAAGTGGCTTTGTGGTGCTGGTGGGTAGCACAGAAACCCAGTTTGTGGGGCCCACAGGGTGGAGCTGTGCGTTGGGGGGAAGCTCTCCCAGGCCCTGCCCCCACAAAGCCGAACTGGCATCTGCCCAGTGACACCCCCCACATATGAAATGAGTCCGGGGGGGTTCAGATGGGGCATTCGCTGTGAGGATCTGCCCCCATCCCACCCAGTCAGCCCTTCGTGGCTCCCCCCGGGGGCATCTCTTTAGGCTGCACAAACCTGGTTCCAGAGATGATTTGATGGTGATTCCCCCACCAGCCTGAGTACCTGGCCCCACGGTGCCTGGGCGGGTGGGAGCCAGCGCCGTTCCCAGCTGAGTCAGGTTGGTTCCTCCTGTGGGAATAGAACCAGTGTCTGTCAGGGGTGGGGTGCAGGGGTGTGAAAGCTGGAGCCCTGGTGTCTGTGGTTAGTTATACAGGGACCCCCCCCATCCCTCAGTCGGCAATGGTGGGTCTTCCTCTGAGGACAGGACGGGACCCGGGGATTTGGGCCG